ACATTAGGCTGCAACTCGCAAAACCAAACAGGGTCGGGGCCCTGCTAGAGGATTCGGTGTTCCTAAAATGCAGCTAAGGCGGCTTCTGACTTCTTCAGGAAAGATGCTGGAATCCTGAGCTCTGGGGGCCCCCCGAGGCAGGGCTCCGGGCACTGGTGGGGGCAGGAGGTGGGGGGGGGCGGTGTTTGCACCCGGCCTTGTTAAAATGTGCCAGCCGGTGGTTACCAGCGGTGGGCGAGACCCTCCACGGAGCGAGGCAAAGTTCAGCCCGTCCGAGCAGCCCGCGCTCTGACGAGCCTTATTCCGACGGCTGGTTAACATCTCTCTGTTGAATTTTAACACGAAATATCTTTTTGACGCAGCAAGGAGAGCGAAGTCCCTTTGGCGAAGGAAGGCCAGACTTGCCCGCTCCGCCAGGCACGTGAAAGGAAGGCTGCCCAGCGCTCTCCTTGACCTATTTAGAGCGCATTTGTTCAATGGGCCAGGGGGGCTCCTGGGCCTCAGAGGCAAGGGACAGGAAGCAGGGCTTCTGTGGACGAGGGCCACCTGGGTACGAGGCAGGTCCCTCGCGGTGCGGCAAGCCGTGGGCGGGGGGGGGGGAGACGCGGGCTGTTCTGGGGGTGGCTCTGGAAGTCGGCTTGGGGAAGGCCCCGTTTCTGTCCGAGGAAACTGCTTACTGAGCTTTTTGGCAAGATTAAAGTAAAGCTAAAATCTGGTCCAGTGGGACGGGAGGCTGAGCTGGCAGCATAGAAAAGAAAAGGGATCTTTTTCCTGGTCCCCGGTGAGGGGGGCAGTGGGGGGGGGGGGGAGGGTGGTTGACAGGGACTGAGGAGGGGTTCCCCTAGGGAGGTGCTGAGCTAGGAGACGGGGACCCTGGCGCTCAGGGAGAAGAGGACAGGAGGGAAAGGCCGCTCATCGGAGGGGAGCGGGGCCCCAGTGAGAGGGACAGGGGCGCCGAGGCTGGGACGCTTGCCATGGAGTTTTCAGTGGCTTCCCAGCATCCTCCTCTGCTACCCTCCAGCCTTCGGCCAACCTCAGGAGTTGGAAACATAGCGGGGGCGCCGGGGTGGCTCAGCCACTTGAGCCACTGGCTCTTGGTTTCAGCCCAGGTCACGATCTCATGGTGTGAGAGTTCGAGCCCCGAGTCGGGCTTTTGGCTGATAGCGTGGAGCCTGCTTGGGATGCTCTCTGCCCGCGCTCTCTCTCTTCCCCTCCCTCGCGCCTCAAAATAAATAGAGTCGAAAGCATAGCTGCTGGGGCTGGATGGACCTGGGTTGGAGTCCCAATTCTGCCACAGAGTACCTGGGTGGCCTAGACTCACCTCTCTGAGCCTCAGTTTCCACATCTGTAAAAATGGATGTAAGACTGGAATACCGAATTGGAAGGGTTGTGCAAAGGATTAAACGAGTTAACACAGGGAGAGAACGTAGGACCGTGTGCGACACATAGTAAAGACTCAGCGACCATCGGGTGTCATCCCCACAAGCGACATCGTCATGGAACGCCGAGGCGTCTCTCAGCTGTGCTGGGGGGAGTTCTGAGTTGAGCCCGCGGCCACATTTGGGGCACATCTTGCTGGCGACGAAGAGGAGAGGGGCCACTGTGTTTGTCCGGCAAGGAAAGCTCCAGCCTTTCAGAACTGCCCAGGATAGCATTTTGGAACAAGTAACACAAGCCGGAGACCAGATCCTCAGACGTTCTGGAGAAGCTGGAACTCTAAACACCGCCGTGTGCGCTGGGGGGGGTCTCTGGAGAAGGTGAGGACCCTCTGAGAACCACGACTTCTTGTCCTGGAAACGACCCTGTGAGGTTGGGGGCGGGGGAGGGGGGGGTCCATGATGCTCTTTCCCCTGGTGGCGAACTAGAAGCTCATCAAGCCAAGTCCACGGAGACCGCGTGGCCCCTGCCCTGCCCGGGGCTCTGATCTGCGCGCCCGTTCCCGTTCTAGGCACTTTCCTGGACACGATGACCAGACCCGGCCCTTAGGAGGCAGGTAACCCGTTATCTGACGGACAGAAAAGCTCGAGACCACGGCAGGGGCAGGGCTATCACGGAGCTGTGCAGGGGCAGGAGGGGAGAAGCTTGGAGGGAGGGGTGGGCTCGGGCTGGTGGGGTTGGTGGCAGTGGCTCTTGGACAGAAGAAACAGCAAACAAGGGACGAGAGGGTGCGGGGCATTTCTGGAACGAGGCGTGTTCAGTGGGGACCGGGCCCAGGCCACGTGAAAGAGGCAGCTAAGCGAGGGCTCTGATGATGGGGGTGGGGGTGGGGGGAGGAGGGCTCCAGGTGGCTTGGCCTTGGCTCTGAAGCACCAGGGTATCAGCAAAGGCTTTGGGCAAAGGGGACAAGCTGGAGGCTAGCGGACATCCTCAAAGGGACCGACCCAGAGTGTTGTCCCGGGATAGCCATGCTGTCTTAAAGAATCCAGCCCGTGGAGGCGAGGGAAGGGAAGAAGCTTGAGAGTGGAGGCTCAGAGGCCACATGAAAATGAAACTCTGGGGGACCCCGGAGGCATGAGCAAACCCAGTGGGTTCTGGCTGCCGCCTCCTCCTCCAGCCGCCCGCCTGGATTAGGGCCTGGGGAATTTAGCCGCCTGGGGAATTTGCTGAGTCACTGACGGTTAGCAGTCCTGCCTGCCCTTTCTCCTGCCTGGCCTGGGACCAGAGGCAGCTGCTGTCACCACAGGACATCGGGGGTTGGGAGGAATCGCAAAAAAAAAAAAAAAAAACAACTTGCCGAACGATCCGGCCAGAAAGATGTCCACGGCGCATCCCCGGGTCCGAGAAAAAAACCCACGTTGGCGAACAGCTTCGGCCGGTGCCCGTTTGCGGACGGTCCGCAGGCTCCTAACGCCTGAAACCCACCAAGGCTGGCTCGGGGCACGACAAGCCTTCCCGCGACACCACCTCCCCTCTGTCTTCTGCCCAGTTGCCTCGCCCTCCGCTCTGTGACCCTCTCTTCGCCCACCGCCGTGCTCTCAACCACCCATTTTTGCTGGATGCTCCTCTTGGGCCCCCAAAAATGGGAGACCGAGGGCTCCATTTGAAACCTCATCTTTCTGCTGTGAAAGGTCGCTCCCCAGGTGAGCTCCCCGGTCCTGGACTCGAAGTGCCTCTCAGCCCTAATGACATCAAGGGGCCGACCCACCCACCCAGCGACATTGTCTTCAGTCTGCTTCCCTTTTTTATCGGGCAGAAGATCTTGGGCTGAGATGGACATCAAAGGATTCCTATGTTCTAAATTTAGCGCTGTTTGTCTTTGGAAACGCTTTTCTTTCTCTCTGGGTACATAGTTCCATTTAAGCTGTGGGGAGAAGGCCTTGTCGAAAGTTCCTCCCAGGCTCGGAACACCAGCCTCCAATCTGACCAATCTCTGGCCACAGAGCTCCTTTTTAGTCCTTTCAAATACCTTGTTAAGTTGCAGTGGCGACAAACGGTACACGTTCCCGGCGCCATCGACCTGCTCCAGGGATGTGAGAGGTGCTCCACAGACGGTGTGCAAAGGGTACCGCCCTCCCAAGATCCAGAGCCACTCCCAAAGATGGCCAAAAGAGAGAGGTCTTAGACACGTGCCCCGAGAGCTGGCGCCAGACGCGGGGGACCCTAGCTGCAAAGGGGGCGCAACCCACGCTTCTGTCCCGCCATGTTTTGGGGCTCCCGACCCGATGGTTGAGCTGTCTGCCTGTGCAAGAACCGATAACCCGCATGCCCCTCCCTTGTAGACGGGAAGTCAGGCCAAGTTCTCAGCACAGGAGACTGGACAAGTCTCTTGTCCAACAAGAAAGCCATAGCTGTCCCTGGGAGGGGAAGGCTCCACAACCGACGGGAATTCACGAGAGTCTGGATTTAGAAAGGAAGGGACGGTGTGAAATTTTACGTTCCTTTTCCACAGGGCTCTGCAGAGATCCGAGAGAGCTGACTCTGGTAAGAATTCTTAGCCTATGGAGGCTTCTGGAAGTCTTCCCAGGGCCCCCTGCAGTCTGTAGCCATGGTGCCCGGGCAGGAAGTGGCACCACCTGGGGCCTAGAAAGGTGTTCCAACGGGCCCCCACGCTTGGGTGGTGGGATTAAAGAAGCCCTTGAAGGGGCCCCTGCGAGGCTCAGTCGGTGAAGCGTCCGACTTGGGCTCAGGTCATGATCTGGCGGTTTGTGAGTTCGAGCCTTGCGTCGGGCTGACGCCTCGGAGCCTGGAGCCTGCTTCGGATTCTGCGTCTCCCTCTCTCTCTGCCCGTCCCCTGCTCACGCTCTGTCTCTCAAAAATAAATGTTAAAAAAACTTTTAAGAAGAGGAACAAGGACACAGAGTGTGGGGAGAAGAGAAGGGGCCAGCAAAGGAGACAGAAGCGTGTGGGGAGAGTGGCGGCCCGGAGGGAGAAGGGCCAGCGGCTGAGATGGCTCAAGTAAGAGGAGCCCTGAAAATGTCACCGAACGCAGGCGCAGCAAGGTCACTGGGGACCGGGGCGTGACAGGGACAAAAACTTGATGGGAATCAATCCAAAAAAGAAGGAGGAATTGGAGGCGAATGGCAATAATGCTTTTGGGGTCTTGTACCTCAAGAGTAGCAGGAAAAGAGGGGGGGGCCAAAGACAGGCCAAAGAGGGGGCTTTTCTGAGGATGGGAGGGAGAGTGGCAGATTGGGGGGGGGGTGGTTAACTTTTAATTTCTTTTTGTAACTAACCTCTACCCCCAACGACCCCGAGATCAAGAGTCACATACTCCTCCAACTGAGCCAGGCAGGCGCCCCGGAAAATGGCGTATTTGTACATTGGTGGGAACTATCCGGTCAGGAGGGGAAGGCAGTTGCCAAAGAGGCTTTGGGCAGGTGGAGAGGTGGGCCGCAGGGCGCACGGCGAGGGGGGCAGGATGAGTGCGAGCGCGTGGGCCATCGGGCTGGCAGGACGAAAGGCAGGATGCGGGGGCACCGAGGCGGGTGGGAGGACGAGACCGCTGGCTTCTCCTGACTTCTGTTTCTTTAGTGAAATAAGGAGAAAGGGCATCTTTTGCGAGAGGGTGGAGGAGGCAGGAGATATCTGAACAGAGGAGGCGGCACAAAATGCAAGACTCTAGAAGGATTTACACCAAGCATCAACAGTGGTGATCACCAGTTGGTGAGTTTGGGAGGGATCTTTGCTTTCTGCGCACCTGTCAATACGTTCTGAAACTTTTGAAAGGCATGTACGTTAATTTTATAATCAAAAGAAACAGAAGCTGCTTTTTTTTTTTTTTTGGTGTTTATGTATTTTTGAGAGAGAGAGAGAGAGAGAGAGAGACAGAGTATGAGCAGAGGGGCAGAGAGAGAAGGAGACACGGAATCCGAAGCAGGCTCCAGGCTCCGAGCTGTCCGCACAGAGCCCGACGCGGGGCTCGAACTCACCAACTGTGAGATCATGACCTGAGCCGAAGTCGGGACGCTTCACTGGCTGAGCCACCCAGGCGCCCCTGAGAAGCTGCCTTTAAAACCAGCGGGAGCAAGTCTTTACGGAGGCTGCTTTAGCTGTCCAAACACGTGCTGGTCCCAAAGATGCTCCAAAGAAGGGTTCCTGCCCTCCGGCAACTGGCTGGACATGAGACTTAGGGCCCAGGAGGGAGGCAAGAGTAAGCAACCAGAGCTCCCTGCAGGAGAAGGGCCCTTGGGGTACGTTCAGGATGTGGCATTCCAGGCTGGGAGCACCAGCCAGGACGGGAGCAAGGCTGGGAGCCCGCGGAGCTGGCACAGGGCGTCCTCGGGATGGGGGGCACAGACGCCAGTGGATGGGCAGGGGGAGAGTGGGCGAGACAAAAGGCAATGGGGCGGGAGTTACCCCTAAAATGGGTGGCCTCGTGCCCCAAAGCACAGAAGAAACGGTTAGGTCACTGTCATTGTTCCTACACATCATACACAGGTGTCTGGTGATGTTGGGGAGACCTTGCGAGGGCTCGGAGAGGGTGACAGCAGAAGAAGCTTGGGCACATCAATGGCAGCAGATGACGGAGGGGGGGGTGGTGGTGCTGGGCCACACAGGCTGGGAGGTGTGGGTTCAGATGGCTGCCCATAACTTGGGACACACACACACACACACAGGTCCCAGCAGCCCACAGGATGTCGCTCCAGCTCCTGCCAGTCCCAGGATCAGTAAGGTCCCTGCCTTTTGAGGCAGGCAGGGGTGTGGAGGGCAGGCAGCAGCCTACGTCACAGTTGGGTTAAACTTCGACCAAGCCTTAACGCCTATTCCGTAAGGGTCATCTGGTCAGTGTTTTATTCCAGTCTGGGTGACTTCGGTCTCCACTCTCCCCACTTGCTTTATTCAGCTCCTCCTGGAGGTCCAGGGCCAGCTACGTCTCCGGAAGGATGCTGGTGGCTCAGGGGTCACACCTAGCAACCCCTGGTCCGAGTCGGAGGCACCCTGAGTGACATTTGCTGGGCGGGCGCCCGGAGAGTCCTGGCCCAGGGGGAGCGAGGCCGGAGGCCACTGCCATGCTCCAGGCTTCTCAGCTGACGAAGCAGGTGCTGCTGTGGGGGAAGCAGGTCACCGGCCTTGGCCCCTTTGCCCTGGGCCAGCTTCTGTGAAGTGGGCACCTCCCCTGGGCCCCCTCGGCGGGCTCCATGGCGTTTTCTGAGCTCCTGGACCAAGTGGGCGGCCTGGGCAGGTTCCAGGTTCTCCAGATGGTGGCTCTGGTGGTCCCTATCATGTGGCTCACCACTCAGAGCATGATGGAGAACTTCTCGGCCGCCGTGCCCAACCACCGCTGCTGGGTGCCCCTCCTGGACAACAGCACCGCCCAGGCCGGTGTCCCCGGGGCCCTGGGCCCCAAGGACCTTCTGACCGTCTCCATCCCCCCGGGCCCCAACCACGAGCCCCACCGGTGTCGCCGCTTCCGCCAACCCCAGTGGCAGCTCCTGGACCCCAACGGCACGGCCACCAACTGGAGCGAGGCCGCCACGGAGCCGTGCGTGGACGGCTGGGTCTACGACCGCAGCACCTTCACCTCCACCATCGTGGCCAAGGTAAGGGCCTCCCCTGATACCCTCCCCAAGTCCTGGCACCTTAGAGGCCGAGGGCAGAGCTCACACTTGACTGGACTCAGCAAGGCCCAGTCCTGGGAGGGACCTGTCCTCTGCAAGCCTCCTCACCCACCACCGGTGCCCTCCTCCCGCACCTGCCCTACAGGGGAGTGGGCGGCAGGACCCAGCCTACAGACAGACACTGGCCCCTGGCTCGTGGAAGAGTGGGTGCTGCCCGTGACCGCCAGGCCAGCCCCACTGCCGCTGATTAGCTGTGACTTGGGCAGCTCCCTCCACCGTGACCCCAGTTCTCAGACCCCAGGGGGGGAGGCATCAGGCAAACGCGAGCGAGTGGGAGGGGGCCCCCACCCCGGCCAGGGGAAGGGGCCTCTCTCTAGAAGGGAGCGGCCCCGGGGGAATCGGGAGGTGACGCCAACTCCGGCTGGCGTTGCAAACCGGGTGAGGCAGGGGAGAGATGAGGCCAGAGAGAACTTGACCCTGGACCAGAGGGTGATGTGGGGAGGCTTAGCCCTGCCCCACCACCCTAGAAGTCACCGGGCCACCCACCCACACCTGGTTCCCTCAGGCCTTCCCGTCCTACGCCTCCACCCCTGCTTGTCTGGGCTCAGCTCCCCACTCCTCTCCCGCCAGTGGGACCTTGTGTGCGACTCCCACGCCCTGAAGCCCATGGCCCAGTCCATCTACCTGTCGGGGATCCTGGTGGGAGCTGCCGTGTTTGGCCAAGTCTCCGACAGGTGAGTACCCCCCCTCCCCCCCCCCCCGTTCTAGAAGCCCCTTTTCCCTCAGGCCACTGTGCTCCCATCTCCGTGTGTCTCTCCCCTGATGCCTTCCGGCTCTGCCACTGAGGAAGCCCTGTACGCACTCTAGGCCTTTGTTTCTGGGGTTGTAGAGGGTCGTCACTCCTACCAAACACTTACCGCTAAAATCTGCCTAAAACCGCTAAAAGCTGTTGTTGAGCGCTCCTGCTGACGGGGAGCTCGTTCTCTGCCCGGGGCTGCCACCTGGGCCTACAAGCCTTTCGTGGGGCGGGGGGGGGGGGGGGGGGGGTGGAGATAACTCGGGTCTGGCCCCAAGAGTCACCGTGACCTCTGCTCAGACCCCCGTGGCCGGTGCCATGGCGCCCCGTGGACCCGGCCACCGCCTGCCCGTTTGTGTGCCCGCAGGTTTGGGCGCAGGCTGGTGCTGACCTGGAACTACCTTCAGATGGCCGTGTCGGGCACGGCGGCCGCCTTGGCCCCCACCTTCCCGGTGTACTGCCTGTTTCGCTTCCTGGTGGCCTTGGCCGTGGCGGGCGTCATGATGAACACTTGCACTCTCCGTAGGTCACCTGACCCGGGCCAGGCGAGGGAGGCTCGTGTGGGCTCCCAGGCTGACCCTTGCGGTCTCCTTGCAGTGATGGAGTGGACGTCCACGCGTGCCCGAGCCTTGGTGATGACTTTGAACTCCCTGGGCTTCAGCCTCGGTCAGGTCCTGATGGCCACAGTGGCCTACGGTGTGCGTGACTGGGCCCTGCTGCAGCTGGTTGTCTCCGCCCCCTTCTTCCTCTGCTTTGTGTATTCCTGGTGGGTGCCGTCCCCCCTCCTCAGAGAAGGCCCTGCCTACCCTCCACCCTGGGGGCAGGGACCAGGGGCGCAGGAGGCCAAGGGAGCCCAGCCGGAGGGGAGCCACGGGCCCGGCACAGCTGGCGGCCACAGGCCCACGGTGCTCACCCACCCCGGCCTGGGGCTCTGGCGCCGGAGACGCTTCTCCCTTCCTTGTTCCTCCCGGTGCCTCCTCCCCCTGCACTCATCCTCCCCCCTCCCCTCTCCCTTCCCATCATCTCTAGGCCTTTTCCCTCTTGACTCCTTGCTTGCCTTGGCATGTGGCACATTTTCTGAGCCGAGGCACTAGGCCAGGCTGAGGGGTGAGACACAAATACAACACACACACACACACACACACACACACACACACACACACCGCTCCTAGGACACAGCCCCAGTCAGCCTTATGTACTGACATTTTACTAAAGAGCAGGGACCAAGACCCAGTGGTCAGAGGGGACCCCCAGCCCCCCACACAGGGCTGACATATTAGAGAAGTTAGGAAGTGTCTGTGCTGCCCTGAAATAAATCAGCCATGGCTCTTGCCAAACTCCCGGGACATAGTAGGTGTATGGGAAATATTTGTTGGATGGATATCTGGATAGATGGATGAATGGATGTCCTTTGGGACAGGGCTGAGCCCGGCTCATTCACACACAGACCCAGCAACTCTGGGTTTTTGGTTGGCCATCGTGGCCCCTGCAGAAAGAAGTCCGGCAGAAGCCCAGGAGAGGACGGGGCACTGGCACCGGGAGGAGGGCTGACTTTACAGATCTCTCTAAGCCCCACTGATTGGAGCAGACACGCTCTTAAAATGGAGCCCTGGGCAGCTAGTTCGCAGTCACTCTGCAGAGCAGGAGACAGTCACGCTTCCTGCACTGGCCCTGAGAGGAAGCCATTCCGGCTGAGGGGTGGCTGTTTGACCCCCGGGACCAACGGAGCGGAGGCTGGAGGGTAGAGGGCAAGGGTCAACGATGCAGATTCCGGGGCCCCCTTCCTGGCTCTCTGAGCCTGACGCTGGCTCAAGGGGTAGAGTCTCACTTTTCCTGACAGACGTGCCCACCCAGGTGCCGTGCACGTGCCCACAATCGTGCGTCACCCACCACGTCATGACTTCAGCAAACAGCTACTGGGTGCCCACCAGGGGCAGGGCACTGGCTGATGCGGGGCTGACGACAGCGAAACAGGCACACTGCCCCGCGGGGAGCTGGCAAGACACCCCGCACGTGATGGCTTGACGAATAAGAGGGGGACCATCTGAGGGCGGGAGCCCATGGCCCTCGAACTCCCACCAGCTTCTCTGCTTCTCTTCGAAACTCATTTCTCTCCATGACAGGTTGTCTGCCTGTGCCGGCCCCACCCCCCTTCCCGTCTCCTCGAACCCGCCCGACCACCAGGCTTCACCCACGACGGCCCTGGCACCCTGGCTCTGCCCCCACTGTTCTTTTTTTTTTTTTTTTTTAACATTAATTTATTTTTGAGACAGAAAGAGAGAGCATGAACAGGGGAGGGTCAGAGGAAGAGGGAGACATAGAATCTGAAACAGGCTCCAGGCTCTGAGCTGTCAGCACAGAGCCTGACACGGGGCTCGAATCCACAGACCGCGAGATCATGACCTGAGCCGAAGTCAGACACTTAACCGACTGAGCCACCCAGGCGCCCCAGCCCCCACTGTTCTTGGCCCTGAATCGGAGGAGGGGTGCCCTCTCCCAGGCGACCTAAACTGTGTCCCCTGTGCCACATGCTGCAAACCCTGAATCCCCTCTCCAGACCTGCCCCTCCCCAGACTCCAGCCTCCCGTTTCCAACCCTCCGTGTGACATCGCCATGACTGATGTCTCGGATTCACAAACGTGAACATCTTCTCGCACCTGCTCTTTCCCAAGGCTTCCCCAGCAAGGGTGGGGGGGATAGCAGCCCCCATCCGCCGGGTCCCAGAGTTAGAGACACCACGTCACCTCCCTGTTCTTCACTGACCTCCCCGCCCCACCCTAAGTCCAGCAGGTCACTGGATCTTGTCAACTCTACCTCGAAAGTATGCCTCGAGCCCCCCTTCTCTCCCCTGTTCGAACCCCGGAGGACCTTCAGGCCCCGTGCATGCGGAGCAGGTGACCCCACGCCTGGCTGCTGCTCCCAGGGGAAAGCGTGCCTGGCTGGGGGGCCTGCCTGAGCAGAGGCCTGGAGACAGGAGCCAGGGTGGAATGGTGGGCGTGACTGGGGCCTCGGTGGGCTGGGCCAGCGCAAGGGATCTGGGCCCATGTCGAGGGGTGTGGGGGCAAGGTTAGGGTTAGGAGCTGGGCCCTGGCATCGGGGTGTGGAGCCGGGATGCGTGGGGCCAGCTGGCATCCAGGAGACAGCAAGTGTTGTCCTGACATGGGCGACCGGGCCACAGGCGAGACAAGGGCAGGGGGGCGGGTCAGGCGCAAGCGGTGCTGCTGGTGGTGACAGGACTTGGTGGCCGCCTGGGTGCAGGTGGAGGGGGCCGGCGACGCCAGGACCAAAGACCCTGCCCAGGCCTGAGCCCCCGGTTGGGTGGGAAGCTGGGGAGGAGTCAGCTCAGGCAGGAAGGCGCAGCCTCGGGGGTGAACAGGAAGGCCACGGATGTGACATCGGGCAGGTGCCTGGCCTCCCTGGTGAGAGGTGGGGGACCCCAGTGGGCTTGCGGCTTGTGGCGGGCTTGCAAGACTACAGTCCTCACTGCAGACAGGCTCACCCAGGCCTGGTTCCCGGGGGGGGGGGGGGGGGGCCCGGGAAGGGCCACAGGGTCGGGAGGGAGGCTGGAAGGGGAGGATATGGACTCCCAACCCCAGTCCGAGGAAGAGAAGGAAAAAGGCAGAAAAGGTGGCCTGCGGGGGAAGGAGGGCGCCAGGTGGTGTGGCGTCCCTGAGCCTGGGGCCTATGGGCACCAGTGAGGCCACCCTCCTGGGCAGAGGGAGACAGAAGGGCAGTAAGGCTCACGCAGCCTGGGGCCACAGGCCGCACCCACCCACCCTCCGCCCTTGACCCCCTGCAGGTGGCTGGCGGAGTCTGCCCGATGGCTCCTCATCAAGGGCAAGCTGGAGCAGGGCCTGCGGGAGCTACAGAAGGTGGCTGCCATCAACGGGAAGAGGGCAGTGGAGGACACACTGACTGCAGAGGTGAGGCGGGGCGGGGCGGGGCGCTCCCCCAGGGCTCAGCCTTCAGACCCTCTCCCTGCCCCTGCACAGGCCCCTGGGAGGGTGAGGGTCTCAAGGAGGAGGACCTGTCCGGTGCTCCCAATGCTGACAGTGACTCCCCTCCCGCCCCGCCCCACCCCACCCCATCCCTGCAGGCCTTGCTGTCAGCCATGCGGGAGGAGCTGAGTGCGAGCCAGGCTCCTGCCAGCCCGGCTGCCCTGCTTTGCACACCCGGACTGGGCCTCCGGACCTGTGTCTCCACTCTGTGCTGGTAGAGGCCCCTTCACCCACCCGGGGCCCCAGCCTCTGCCTCGGGCCTGCCTTGGGCAGCCGGGAACCTGGGGTCAGGCCCTGACTGGCATCCAGGCAGGGGACCTCTACGGACTCTCCTCTTGCTCCCGCCTCCAGGACCAGGCCTGAAGCATTCCATTCCCCACCCCCCCACTCCCCTGCTAGTAGTCAGGCTCCCAAAGGAAGCAGCCAAGGCCAGGTGGGGTCAGGCTGGGGAGAGGGGATGGCAGAGACCCCTAAGGAGGAAGATTCACAGCAAAGGCGCTGGGAGAGCTGAGCTGCCCAGCAGGCCGAGGAGGCCATTCGAGAATAAGCGAGGCGAGAAGGCACACCCACCCCAGTATTATCAGAGCCCGGGGAGCCAGTGTCACCCAGCAAGGACACAGGATGCCCAGAGGGAGGGAGGAAGGCAAACCCTGGCCTCTCCCCCACCCCACCCCACCCCCTGCACCTCCAGCCCCTCACCAGCGGCTCCCATTGGCCAAACCTACCGAGGGGTGGCACTGGGGGAGGGAGGAGGCCCGGGGCCAGGTGGTGCACAGAGACCAGCCCTCCACTATGCCGAGCCTGCAGGGGGAGGCTGGAGGTGGGTCTGAGGACCCACCAGCAAAGGAGCAGCCCCCGCCCCAGCCTGACCCCACCCGCCCCGCCCCGCCCGCAGGTTCGCCTTCGGCTTTACCTTCTACGGCCTGGCCCTAGACCTGCAGGCCCTGGGCAGCGACATCTTCCTGCTCCAGGTCCTCATTGGGGTCGTGGACATCCCGGCCAAGATCGGCACCCTGCTGCTGCTGAACCGCCTGGGCCGCCGGTCCACTCAGGTGGCGTCCCTGGTGCTGGCGGGGCTCTGCGTCTTGGCCAATATGCTGGTGCCCCACGGTGAGCGGCCAGAGGCTTCCCTACCTCGGGGTGCTGAGCCAGGGACAGGGGCCCCTGCCCCCTCCTCAGAGGGTGCTGGCCCAGTGGGGAAGGAGGCTGCTGGGGCATCTGGGACAGATGGTGACGGCCCGCCCCAGGCAGCAGGAACAGGGATGGAGTGGAGGGGGTGGTGGTCCTGCAGGGGGAGGGGAGGGAGCAGGGGGCCAAGGAGGACTCCCAGGGTCTGGCTCAGGGTTATCGGGTTGGGCAGCAGTTTGGGGGGGCAGCGAATGGAACCACGGTGTCACCTAGGATGTGGTGCGTGTGTGCGTTGTGGGGGACACCCAGAGGGAGGGGAGTCATAGACATTTGGGAGGTCAGGGAGAAGTCCGGCCCCCATCTGACCTCGGAGCCCTGCCACCAACCTCGCTACCCCCTTCCCTGTCCACAGAGTTGGGGGCCCTGCGTTCATCCCTGGCCGTGCTGGGGCTCGGGGGCCTGGGGGCCGCCTTCACCTGCGTCAGCATCTACACTGGTGAGCTCTTCCCCACCGTGCTCAGGTGAGGCTACGCCCAGGCCCGAAGAAGGGGTCACCCTGGGCTTCGAGGGCAGGGTGGGGGTGGCCTTCCCCAGCCCCGGATGTTCCCGCCGCCATCCCCCTCCCATGTGGTCTCAGGGCTGAGCAGGTGCATTCCGTTCCCCCCGCCCCCCACCCGCCCGCCTGAACCACTGTGCCTCCCTGGACAGAGTGGGGCTGGGCCGGGCTGGGAGGCCCTCACGGGTGTTTCCGGGACTGCAGGATGACAGCGGTGGGCCTGGGCCAGATGGCAGCCCGCGCGGGAGCTATCCTGGGGCCTCTGGTGCGGCTGCTGGGTGCGCACGGCCGCTCACTGCCGCTGCTGGTCTACGGGGCGGTGCCGGTGCTGAGCGGCTTGGCTGCATTGTTGCTCCCCGAGACACAGAGCCTGCCGCTGCCCGACACGGTTCAAGATGTGCAGAACCAGTGAGTGAGCTCGGCCCGGGGCCCGCCCTCTCCGTTTCCCCCTGCCCCCCCGCCCCCACCCCGTCACTGGGCAGAGAGAGAAGCAGAGGCACAGAAAGGGACGGGATTGGCCCAGAGTCAAACAGCACATCTTTGGGAGAGTGGAGACCAAGGGCCGGGGCTCCTGGCTGACAGTGTGGAGTTCATCTCCTGCTCTGGGCCGGAGGCTGGGCCACCCTCGGGGCCACCTTCAGAGGCGTCGAGGGGAAGGGAGAGTGTAGTCATTTGTTAAGAAGGACGGGCCGAGGGTGTGATGGGCGTTGCTGGGGGAGGAGGGGTGCTCACCGGCCCCAAATTCTACCACGAAAGCCCCTAGATGGCTGGCAGGCTGTCACTGCCCCCCCCCCCGCCCTGCTTCCCAGCACGTGCCCATTCCTGGGCCCCCAAGAGCAGGGCAGTGGTACCTCCTGAGACCTCAGGAGGGACCCAGTTCAGGGGTCAGAGGTCACTCTGCACGCACGAGCCACACCCCTCTTGTCTTTCATGTCTGAACAGGGCAGTGAGGAAAGCGACACACAGCCCCCCGGGGCGCACTGTCTTGAAATCCACACGCTTTTAAGCTCCCGGGCATTCTGCGATGGGACATCGGGAGAAGCACCCTCTCTCCTTCGGAGAAGGCAGGACGACAAAGGCCACCATTTCCAGAGGGTCCAGGGGCGGCCCCGGGCACCCCACCGGACCCTCCCTTGTGACTTCGAAAAGGATAGGGGTGGCGCAGTCGGTTAAGCGTCCGACTTCAGCCAGGTCACGATCTCGCGGTCCGTGAGTTCGAGCCCCGCGTCGGGCTCTGGGCTGATGGCTCGGAGCCTGGAGCCTGTTTCCGATTCTGTGTCTCCCTCTCTCTCTGCCCCTCCCCCGTTCATGCTCTGTCTCTCTCTGTCCCAAAAAATAAAATAAAAAACGTTGAAAAACAAAATTTAAAAAAAAAAAGAAAAGGATCAAAGACCAGCAGGACTTTGTCTACCCCGTGCTCCCCTCCTCACTGCTCACGGCCCCCAGCTGTCCACTGTTCCCCCCTCCCCCCCCCCCCAGCCCTCCCCCCCACCGAGCTTAGAGGCCACCATCATCCAAGATCAAAACGTCCCAAACTCATCGCACTACCCCGAGATCTCCACACAAGTCTCAGCTCCTCAGTTGTACCCAAAGGGCAGCTCTGGCCCCCGGTCACCCCTCTGCACACTCCAGCCACGGGACCAATCCTGCCCCGCCCCTTCTCTACCTACCAAACTCCTCTTCAGCTTCCCAGACTCAGGGCAACCGCCTCCTTCCAGGGGTGCAGCCCGAGGCCATAGTGAAACCCTTACCCAGAGCCACGCACCTGTCTCCCACCCTGCCAGCTATGAGTTCCCAGAGGATTGGAGTGGCCCCCTTGCCCCCTGACCTGACCCGGCCCCCACACAAAGCCTGGCAGGAGGGGCGTTGGGGGGGAGGCGACAAAAGAGTGAATAAAGGATCAAATGACTGCCCCTCCCTGACTCCAGTGAAGAGCCACAGGTGGGGGTGGGGCAGAGGAGAGTTCTGGGGAGCTCCTCTGGGGGCTGGCCCTTTCCCAGGCCAGCCTATCTGTCCTTTCCTGCCTGTGTTGTGGGCTAGGCACCGTCCTGGGCATCTCATGGCATCATCTCATCTCTTCCCGAGCCCGTCGAGGAAGATGCCCCATTTTACAGATGGGAAAGTAAGGCTTGGAGAAACCGATTGCCCATGATGGGCAGCTAGGAGGGACCGAATCAAGAGTCAGGCCCAGGTCTCCAGAGCCCAACCTTGGCTACGACCCCCCCCCAGCCTGCCCTCAGGCCTCGAGACTTTTGGGAGACAGAAGCACTCCCTGGCCTGGTCTTGTCAGCATAGCCTCGGGCCTCTTTGGGGGGGGATCGTGTCTTTTAGCTTTCTGCCTGTGGCCACCCCTCAGTGAAGAATCCCCCCCCACACACACACAAAGACAAAGGGGACAGGGGTGGGGATCATGTTTGTTAAGATGCCCAAAGGCAAGGTTGTCCCAGCCTGCCCTGAACTTTCCGTCCTGTCTGCCTGCTGCCCAGCTGAGCCCCAGCTACTTCCTTACCATTGCTCAGCATTCTTGGGACCCGCTGGTGTCCAGAAGCTTCCAGAAGAGAGAACCCAGGACTGGTGAGAGATGGCTCCTCCTCCCCGCTAGGGTATCCTCCAGTTCACCAAGTGGTCAGAGCTGTCCCTCTGCCCACGTTCAGAGCAGCCTTGCTCCTGGCCCTTCCAGGCGGTCACGGTCTTCTAGGACTGAGGGCCGACCTGCTTCCGACATGTCTCCCCTCACTCAACAGGATCTGGAAGCTGGGAGGGTCCAGGACCCGGCCCCTCTGGGGCAGCTGGGGGTGAGCGTCATCCCCGTGGCAGAGTGGGTGCCCTGCAAAGGGAGAGGGGTCTCCCTTCACAGCAGTCCCAGGCCTGCCTTCTAGATGGGTGCTCCACTCAAGCGGTCTTCGCTTGGGAGCCCCCAATTTACTGCTCACCACAGGGAGCACCTGCCCCCCGAGGCTGCAGGGACACCTACAAGGGAAGAGCCCAGGAAACCGGGCGTGGGAAGGAAGTGGTCAACAGCCTCACAGTCTCATTCGCCCCATGGAAGTAGAGGCCTCTAGCAGTGGGGACAGGAAAGTGGCTTCGGACCCACTTTGGCCATCCTCCTGTCTCCAGCCAGGACTGCAGCTCTCCCCGAAGGGGTGTGTGGGGAGGGCAACGCAGGCTCCTTCGGCTCCATATCCGCCTCCAGGAAAGGGATGTCCTTCCGGAAGAGTGCCAGGACTGGCTGACCGTGTGTTCCCTCCACCGGGGGTTTGGGTGGTAGGGCAGGTCTTCAAGGTCAAAGGGATCAGCTAGGGGCGCCTGGGTGGCGCAGTCGGTGAAGCGGCCGACTTCAGCCAGGTCACGATCTCGCGGTCCGGGAGTTCGAGCCCCGCGTCGGGCTCTGGGCTGACGGCTCGGAGCCTGGAGCCTGTTTCCGAATCTGTGTCTCCCTCTCTCTCTGCCCCTCCCCCGTTCATGCTCTGTCTCTCTCTGTCCCAAAAATAAATAAACGTTGAAAAAAAAAAAAACACAAAAAAAACAAAGGGATCAGCTAGACTCCACTTCGAGCTTCTTCCCCAGCTCGGTCCTTGCTCCTCCCAGGTGGAATCTCCTAGCACATCCCTGATAGAACCAATTGTCAATGAGCGAGGTCCCTGGAATTTCAGTCACCCCCAGATGCTGTTTGGACACTCCTGAGGGTCAATGCCAGGCCAGCCAGACTCCAAAGGACCTCAGCTCAGGCCCAGGTGATAGGTTCAACATCAGATGCCCAGACGAAGGAGCTGAGACTGAAGTGACCATATCTTACAGACAGGTAAACTGAGTCAATGGTAGATTGACTCACAACCAACCCCTTGAGTGACAAGGAGCTCTTAGTCTCCTTACAAAGAGAAGAAAACACCCAGTCCTACACCCCCATGGCAATGAGCAGGACTGGGACCCATCCTTCCAACTCCTCCACTGTCCCTCTTTCTGGCCCCCTACTCTGACAGACTGTTCAGGGCCATTCTAGAAATTTCTAGAATAAGAATGAATTTCTAGAAATTCTGGAATAGAAATTTAGAATTTCTGGAATAGACAAATAGAATTTCTAGAAATTTCTGGAAGAAGAACGTTCCCTTCTTGACACCAAGGAACTCCTGCCTGCCTCTCTTGGTTTTCTTTGGCCAGTGACGATGGGGCGGGGGAACCTGAGATAAATTTCCATCCCTCGGACAAACAACAGCAGCGGAAGACGTGGGCGCAAGGCCACGGCCAGCACAGGGACAGGATGTCTTGGCCAGACCACCCTAAGTCAGGGCCTCCCCGCAGGCTTCCACAGGGGGTTACAGCTGACCTCAGGCTCCTGGGCTGTGAGCAGCTGGGCAGAAGCAGGGCCCATGCCTCCCCCCAGGTGGCTGATTCAGGAGGGCAGCTACTGGAGAACCCGCTCTCCCACCAGTGATAGGACTCTGGGACAGGGCTCTCAAAGGCCCCTGGGGGCACACCCCAGGGTAAGGAGGATCCTGAAACAAAAAAGCTTCATCCCAGGATGGAAGGAAGGACGAGGAGGTGAGGCTCCTGTGGACACCAAGCCCAAAGACCTGGCAGATGTCCATGGACCAGACTTGCGAACTGGAAAATGCCACAAGAATGGGCTGGCCAGCAACAGAGCCACCTGTGGATGGGAGCTTGGGGAGCAGCTTCAAGTGGCCCAGGGCGATGGCGAGCCAAGGGCACAAGAAAGCAGAACCAAGAGAGGGGAGCAAGATCCACCAAGCAGAAAGTGGAGGAGACCTGAGTGACAGAAGCACGGCTGAGTCAGGGCTCACGTGCCCAGCGGCATGGCGATCCCAAACTGCCACCTGGGAGAGGAAGACCATCCACCCTCCTCTCTCCTGAGGACGCTGGCACCTAACCCTCACCTAAGAGTTTCTTTTTTTTTTTTTTTT